GGGATGGGAAGGGAGAGAGGCTGAGGGGAGGTGCTACATAGTGTGTGTCAAATTTTTCAATTTTCAATTTCCAAACGGGTATTCAAAAGTTGTGGCATGCCTTGAGGATTGTAAATATATTTTGGTTACTTTAATATAATTTAGATGTGCTTGATAAGTACATAACCATCATAACTTTTTAACGTTTTGTTTATTTCATTTGCAGCAATCTTGCAATGAAGCCGTAAGGTTGAGCAGATTGCAAAGGTCCCAATTTTTGTTCATGTGACCATGGAAGTACTGTAGTCAGTCAGAGGTCATAAGTCCCTTTGATTAGTGGTGTTGTCATTGGGTACAGTTGCAAAATGAATGATTGTAAGTTAAGGACTATCCGTATGGGTATGCACAGCATTAGGCACCATACAGTAAAAGTCTCAGTACTTGGGCTTCAATGGCTTTGAATACTGGGGGGGTACAGAATTATAGCCATTGCCCCTTCAGCTTATGTATCTAATTATGGCATTAGATGCTGTTTGGGCATGCAGAAATTTGAAGATGATGACGATAGAAATACATGCCTAGATACTTAAATGTTTCATATGCTCAGTTGGATAGCTATCAATTGTCCAATTGTGGTTGAATGCCTTTAATAATACAGTAGAACCTCTGGTCATGACCATCATTTGTTCCATAACTTTGGTCGCAACCCAATTTGGTTGTAACCCAAACCTAATTTTGGAAATTTGACACTTAGAAAAAAATGATGTGGAAGGGAAAATTAGCCGTGAAAAAAAATATGTGAATTTTTTGGTCAGAACCCGATTTGGCCGTGGTCAGAAGCTTTCATGACCAGAGGTTCTACTGTACCACTAGCTTGTTTTTTGAGTAATTGAGTTCCAGCATTTCAGACTTAACAATGAAATGCGAATACATGGAGGTTGGATCAAATTTCCATTTGGTACACAGAGAGAATAACAGCATCAGCAGCATATAAAGCATACATCAGCATTTTTTTTAAAAAAATAGAAATTGGTTTGCTAGCTAAAGTGAGAGGATGGAATTCGGAAAAGATCTGGACAATATCATTGATGTACAAATTAAATAGGGGGCAGATTGCACCCTTGTTTGACTCGTTTAGTGTTTGGGATTTGATCAGTCAATTCTTCATCAAACATTACATCTGCATTGCATTATCATAATTACAGAAGCTAGTGATTGATGGAGGAGGTTTCTAGTTTGCACCCAAACTCTTCCTGAAAGATTAAATGTTTTCAATTTTATAAATGCAACAGAGGGAACCTTTGATGGACTGACATACTTTGCAGAAAAGTGGCAAAGAGTGAGATATTGGACTACAGTAGAAAAACCTGGCCTTGGTAATTTTTTTGTGTATTTTTTTTAAATTTTCAAACATACATCAATATCATTGCACGGATCATGTGGTGTCTGAGTGTCATTCATTTTGATACAAAAATAATATTGATACAAATGAAAATTACTGCATTAATCAAACTTATATGGTCTAATGTTATTATACATTATATATTTTTCTTGGATCAATTGAGTCAGCAAATTTTGGTTGAGATGTTTTGCATATAGTTTATTGATTTTACATAGTAAAATTTTTAAATGTAGTTAGCTGGGTTGGTCCTATCACTTTTATTGTACATTGGCATTGTGGTAGAGTTGGTCCATTCTTTGGGGATCTGTAGAGAATTGGCCGATATGAGTAAATAAGGAAGTTAAAATAGTGACCCAAATTTAGGTCTTAGTTTGGGGATGTTCAGGTCAGTCTGGGAGCTTTGCAACTCTTGAATTGAACAATTAGATTCAATATCTCTCACTGGGGCCAATCCAAGAGAAAGTTGGAAAATATTAGGCTTGTATCAAGATCCCAAGTATGAATTTGAAATAATACATGACAGAAAGTATCTCAATGTCCTTCCATATTAAATGATCCATTCTGGATCTAAATTATATTGTCACTAAGGAAGCAAAGTGCCAGAATTTGATGCTATGTTTAGATTGAACTGTCTGAATCAGTCTGTACCATCCCTCTAACTGGCTCACTTGCGTCTTTCTTCCCAGAAGAGCCTTGTGTCTTTCAAGATATAAACAGGTTTCCTGGGAATGGAGGCACTGCTGTCTCTGTCAACTTTATGGCCCATTTATTTGGAATGGCAGTCATGCTTAAAAGATCTCAGTTTTGAATAAGATTTAGTTTTGTAATGTATTATTTGTAGTACAGTGGTACAGATTAATCTAAAATATCAATCAGTTGAATCATGCTAATAAATAAGCTGGAAAAAGAAATTAAACACATAAGGGAATATGAAGAGGCATGCTTTCTTCTTACCTTATTTTCTCTTGGTTACTTTCAGCAGCAAGGTGCCACCCAGTATGTTGTAATACAGGTAGTCCTTGACTTACAACAGTTTGCTTAGTAATTGTTCAAAGTTACAACCACACTGACTTATGGCCATTTTTCAAACTTAAGACTGTTGTGACATCCCCGTGATCTCGTGATCAAAATTCAGGTGCTTGGCATCTGACTGACATTTATAAGCGTTGCGGTATCCCAGGGCCTTGGGATCACCGTTTGCAACCTTCTGACAAGCAAAGTCAATGGGGAAGCCAAATTCAATTAACAAATGTGTTACTAACTGAACGACTGCAGTGATTCCCTTAACAACTGTAGCAATAAAGGTTGTAAAACAGGGCACAACTCACTTAACAAATGTCTCACTTAACAACATAAATTTTGGACTCAATTGTGATTCATAGGTCAAGGACTACCTATATACTCTGTTCCACCCACTTCTAAATATTTAAGTGATATTCTATAACAATGATATTGTACTTTCAGTGATAGTTCCAAAAACCTCTAAGGTGCTTCCTTCATAAGCCAATGTTCAATTATATATCATTGACATCATAAAGCTTTCCAATATGGTAGTTTCCATATTGGATTATCTGATCTGATAATTCCCAATTAAATGTGGCAGCATCCATTGCAGAACAAATCCAATTCAGTGTTCTTACAAAAGAATTAATCTCTTCTCTCTTTTTTTTTAGATTTTAGTCTTTTCTGACATCCCCCCCAAATTATTTTTAAACTTATTAAAAATAAGTTTAAAAAAATCATTTTTCTTTTGGACTTGAAAAGACCAGAAAATATTTTTTTTAAATCAAATTCCTCAGTCATAAAGGAAATCTCATCTTTAATCAGGCACAACCATCAAAGCCATTTAATGCTTCCAACATCAACTGCTTTGGAAATAAGTGCTTTTAAGTCTCAAATGACTATTGTTGTGTGACTCGCAATGAAAAATCTGCCTATGGTGTTCAGCCACGTTAAGGTGAAATAGATCAGCTTACAAAACATCTATAGGCATCTCATAGTACTTAAGCCAAGCCAATTGAATTGTTTCCAGGGTTTTTCCTTCCTGACATGCCCATTAGTTGTTTTATTTTCCCAACTGTTTCACATCCTCATGTAGAAGAAAACCTAAACATTTATTTAGGGCAGTGCCACACCTATTTTCATTGGCACCTCCTCCACACCTCTTCAGCAGTGAAGTCCTAGCTGGCTAATCAAAATAGCTTTCTGAAAATTCAAGTGCAGCTGCATGCCAGGAAATCAAGACACATGTACATGCAACAGCTGAATGGCTTAGTTTTCAAACAGGAATGGTTTTCAACTTCTTTTTTCTGCTTTAGTATGGGTAGTGTTGATGAACATTTGTTTCCTAGGTGCCTATTTCAAGGGAACACACAAAATAAAAAAAAATAAAAAAACTGTGCAAATCCCCACAAAAACATGACAAAATTTAAGTTTAAAAATTATTTGCTGGAGCAATGTGTGTATTCAGATGCACATGCAGTTTTGTAAGATTGGTATATCATATGTGTTTAATACGCATGCACTCAATCAAATAACTGATAACCTTCTGTTATTCCCTTGAATACACCAAACTGCTATACATCCTATTATTAGTATGTTTATATTCTTCAACAGTGCCATACTGCTTCTTTGCCCTTTAATTTAGGATGCTTGTTTTTAAATTATACTAGAAACGGTTGTTTTTCTTGAGTTCCAGCATTTATACCCTAGTGCTGCCAGTTCTCTTTTTCCAAGCTAAAATAGTACTCAACTAAACCTGAAATCGGACCTTCCACGCAGACTTCATGCTTCCTGCAAGTCAGGAATTTTCAGGGCATTTTATAAAAGCTGGGTTTCCTTTCTTTCTGGACAGGTAGTCCTTGACTTACAACAGTTTGTTTAGTGACTGGTCAAAGTTACAACAGCACTGAAAAAAGTGACATGACCAGTTTTCACTCTTACAGCCATTGTAGCATCCCTATGGACATGTGGTCAAAATTCAGACACTTGGCAATGGACTCACATTTATGACACCTCCAGTGCCCCGTGGTCATGTGATCCCCTTTTGCGACCTTCTGACAACTCAATGGGGAAGCCAGATTCATTTAACAACAAGTTCGATTAACTGAACAACGAAGGTGATTGATTTAACAACTGTGGAAGAAAGATTGTAAAATGGGGCAAACTTACTTAACAAATGTTTCAGAAACAAGAAACATAGCAACAGAAATTTGAGGCTCAATTATGGTTGTAAGTTGAGGACTACCTGTGCTGTTTTTTCTTTCCATTTTCAAAATTTCCACTTGCGTGATTTATTTCTTGGAACTCCATTATAGGAGTTACAACTGAGGGGGGGAAAATAGCCAAAGATACACGTGTTAGGAGAAAGGATTTTGTCCAATCTTAAGTGTTAATGAACTATCTTTTCCATTCATGTATTTTTGTAACAGGGTGTTAAAGTTCTAGCAACCTTAACATTGTATAAAACCGTACTTTTGTATTGTCTATTTTTTTCTTTAAGTTTTTTGAGATGACAAGAGGTTTACTCTGAAAGATTTAAAATCCTACAATTATGTAACATTTTGCATGGATATTGAATTAAAGAGTGATTGATTAATGCAATTAGAGTAAAGCTGTATACACTCAAAGTAAAACATGCCTAAAAATAAATGGAATGCTTAATAAATGGTACAAGCAGAAAGTAAGACCAAAAAATGTCTGAGGTTCCCTTGGTTGTTTTACATAGAAATACTGTAATACATGTTGGTATTACATTACACTATGGATGTGCTGATTGGGCCATGACAGGGTTTACTGTACAGTTTTATAAGCAAAGGATGCTATGTTTGTGGCCGAGATCCCAAAATGATTTGCAATGAGTGCTAAGTAGCAAGCTGTATGATAAAATACAAATGTGAACGACTTAAATGACAAAATTAACTGAAGTCTGGCTTAAGGTTTGGGCTTGGATTCACAGAGAATGAATAGGATAAAATTGCAAAACAAATATAAAAGTGAATGGGGTAAGGAAAGTTGAAAACCTCCTTGAAAACACAGTACAAACTTAAAGAAAAACAAATAAGTGTATGTACATGGTGAAATCAAATCTGGTTTGAAAGACTGAAAAGTGTATGAAGGTGCTGGTGTAAATTCCAGTTGTATTTTCTCATATATTCTCTCTCTGAGTTATTTTGCTTACTAATTATTATTATTATTTGCAGTTTGCATGGCATTGTTTTCCCAAAAGGAAAGAGCATTATGGGTATGGATATTATATGCCACAGAGAACAGAATGTGCACCTGCTCTTCACCTACAGCATAGTCAATCAGTCTAAATCAGATTATTTTCTGACCTTGAATGAATAAGACCACATTATAGTTCTTTACAATACCAAGTTCAATTCTTGTTTTTTTTAAAAAACCTCTTTTGGCAACTGTTGACTTCCTGTGTTACTAAGAAATGAATCAGTTGAAGGTTTCCCAGTACAGTATTAAGTCACTAATTAGTTATTGGAAAAAAACATTCCATATATTTTCTCAAGGTCCATTTTTTTACTTTAAACCCATCAGAAATTAAAAAAATAATAATCAAAAGCTGCTCCACCCATTACATTTCATGTCACTATATGAACATAAAGGGAAAATTCAGACATTTCTAAATTTCTTAAGTAGGAAGTGACATTTTTCCTTCCTTTGTTCTTCAGGTTTCCTGGAGATTGCAATAAAATATATGATATTCTCAAGACAGGAATACATGTAGATTTGATTGGCTTGAACTAATGGAATATGTCTAGAAGTTATTTTGAAAAAGAGATCTGCATAGTGACCTTAGCTATATCAGCCTTACCTTTTATGCTCCAAAACAGGTTCTTCTTAGTGCAAATATATATAGTGCTGGTTTTTAACATAGGTTCTCATTTTCAAACCATAATAAACAATTCAGAGATAAAATAAATAGAATAAACTGGAGGCAAGGATTCAAAATATGCCATACTAAAAACTGTTTTAAGGTATTTTAAATAATTATTTATATATCTTTGTAATAATTATTATATTACATTGCAGATGATCCTTCACAGAAGGTAGTTTAAGAAAAGAGGCGCATGTTATCCAAAACAAATGCACTGCTGTTCATTGATATAGAATGGGCTGAAGCTTCTAGTAGGAGATGCTTCCAAGCCACTGTTCAACCAGATTTCTTGCATGATCTGTTCTCGCCGCTCTATCCTTTCAGCCAATTCAGCTGCATCCAGGGAACAATAAGCTGAATTTGAAGTCCTGCATAAGCCTGTTAGTTCATCAGTAAAATCTGAATCAGAAGATTCCCCTCTCTCTTCCTCTTCCTCTTCTTCCTCCTCCTCATTGTTTTCATCAGCCTTCTGATTTTCTAGCACCTGATGCTTTTTCATCCTCCATAGCTTTATCACATCATCGCAGCAAGAAATGTGCATTACCAGAGCACAAAGTGTGAGCATTAGGCCAACGCAAACACTAGACACAAACAAGAGAGCAGCTCTTTCAAGGTGATCTGAAATTAGAAACAAAGATCCCAGACTAGAGCCTTATGTAGAGGTGGATGGGAATGATAATAATTTGCTGTCATTTCTGAAAAGCCCAGACTCCTGAGGCAATCTTTTCATATCTAAATATACATAATCCATCAGACCTTGCTAACATGTTTCTGGCCAGCAATATGGAAATGAAAATAAGGTACAATATTAAATTAAGTAAAATACTAAATTAAGTAAAACTCTTAAGTAAAATATGATTTTAGGTGATATAAAGAGATGGATCTATATAAGTTTTTTGTGCAACAGTATGAAAATAGTTTACTATTATCTTCTTCTGAGATTCCAGTTTTCTTACCTACAACTCTGGATGTTCTAATAGATCCATTTTCCCCCATTTTTCAAGATCAGCAAAATGCTATTATTTAGCTCAGCCTGTAGCCACCAGTACCAGAAAAAATGTGAATTATCTCTTCAAGGATTTTTCCTCCATGGAGTTAAGTAAATCAAAATAATACTTTAAACACCTGTTAATTAGGATATTGTAAATAAATCAATGAAGTTTTAAATGCTGCAAATATTATGTGTAATATTTTATACTAATTCTCAAAAATGTAACTGCTAGCAGTAACAAGATTTCTTATCAGAACACAAGGATATGAAGTAAAGTCATCTACCTCTAATGTATGCAAATGTAGCCAAACTGCTGCTAATTATAGTTTCTTCCTTCTTTGGAATTCTTGATTCTTTTGGATCAAAATTTATATCTGTGAGAAAGGGAAAAAAAGGTTCCTAAATTAGATTGTAGTTGAACTAACTTTCCAAATGGAAAAGGAATGTGTATTTGTTAAATCACTAATTTAAATATCCTACCGCAAGCAATTACCTTCTTTAACATCTCCATGTTTCCATGTTGTCCAATAACACATTTTATGTATTAAACCAAAATTAATTTTAAATTTCTATTTTATTACATAACACAACGCATAAATATATGAGAATGTCCCTTAAGATAATACGTTGGTTTTACAACACAATTCATAAATACATGAGATTTATGATAATGTTTGTTTCCTGTTTTCCCTAAGAAGTGTTAACACTGTTGATATCAGGAAATTAATAAGAGGTTTCTTCACACCAAACATGTTCTAAGCTGAGTGTTCCCTGTCCCTATTCAGAATTGGGGCACGTGCCCACCACTTGTGCAAGGGCTGCACGTGTGAGGGCTGCCAAGCCACAAAGTTTGGGGATCGCTGTTCTCAGCCATGATTCCCACCAACTAGATATGAGAAGAATTACTTCTTTAACCTAATACTAAAGTTATTTTATTTTATTTATAAGTTCTGCAATAAAGTTTTGTTCATGTGATAAACAACAAAGTCAATGAGGTCAATTTAGTCTTTAGTTAGTTTAGTTAATAGTTTTACTTGGCTCTGTCCATTTCTTTGTCTTGGCCTCATCACTTTTTGTGTTTGTTTTGCTACACCATTCAAAATGAATTGAACATTGACTCATCCAAAGTTCCATGAAGCAGGCATGATATTCCGCTCTGGAAAAAAAATCGGGGCCGGACAAAAGAGACCCCCCGCCGCGCGCCCGGGGAGCGCCCGCTGCTTTCCCTCGCCGGGGCCGGGCGGCGGCGTGTTGCACGGAGGCTGGTCTGTGGCTGGCCCAGCTCCCTTTTCCTGCCGCTCAGCGGCCTCCGCTCGCACCGCCCGGGCTCCGCTCAGGTATCCGGCTGGGGCTGTCAGGAGTTGCTACCGCCGGCGCAGCTCCACGCGGCTCCAGTCCCGCGTTGCCTCGGGAAGGGAAAGGCAAAACCAGGAGCCGCTGCTGCCGTTGCAAAGCGCCGCCGCGGCTCTTCCTTTTTGCCTTTCCCTTCCTGAGGCAACGCG